AAATTACATTTGCATGTATGTTTGTCCTTGTGTGGTATGTGACCATAGGTGCAGATGCTTATGGAGACCAGAGGCATCAAATGCCCTGGAACTGCATTACAGACAGTTGTACATCACCTGAAGTGGGGGCTGAGAACCAAACCCAAGTCTTCTAAAAGAGGAATGTGCTCTCTTAACTGCTGAGACAGCTCTCTGTGTCTATTTGTATCTTCTCAATACAAGAAACTTACGTAACATGTGTCTGAGAATCTTTTCAAATCAAGACTTTTAAGTGATTCATTTCTGCTCTGTCTGTGGGTGACACAAGGTGTGGCATCTCAGTTGAAAAGGAAAGTCGTCAAAGAATTTTCAAGAATGTTTCTTTTGCCCTTATGGAAAATACAAAGAAAGAAGCCATTGCACTCTACCAGCTGTCTGGTCAAATGAGAGGCGCCTGGAGTCTGGCCCCTAGAAGGATCAGATGAATAATGAAGAGAAGCACGTGGCAGAACTTGTACCACACTTTATGACTTTTCATTTTTAAGATTGCTCAAACACGTAGAGCAATATATAGAAGAGAGGTTCTGCTGCAAGTCCTTGGAGAATGCATGCACACCCCTGCCACCCTTAGCACAATGGAGAATCTGACTTCTCTATTTTCATATGCCAGTCAGTGAAGTGATGATCCTCCCGAGGCACAGGCTGATCACTATCAGAGTACTGCACTTTTAAGATGGTTTTTATAAAGTGTTTTTCTAATTAACATTCTCAGTTTTTATAAGCATAAAAGTCTCATACCCACATGCTACCTTCAGAAAACCCCAAACTTTCCTGTGCTTAAATTCTTGAACCTCACCACATCATCATGGGGACCTCTCCCATACTGTAGGAATCAGGAGTCATAACATTTTTCTAACTGTCTCTATAGAAAGCATCTTTTATACCTAAGCAGCATCCTGTTCTCCACTGCCTTAGGAATTTTCCGGGTTCATGAGGAAATGAAGAGAATGTTTCTACATTAAAATGTTTCTAAACATTTAGATTCTTATTTATCGTATTTCAATTGCTCCAATTAATAGAACATGGTTGAAGAGTGAAGGCGTTAATTATCCCCTTATTTCACATCTATATCTGAATACTCTTAGAAAATGTTAGATTTTTATATGGCATAGCTAAAGATTTTAATAGCAATCCATATATGTTTATGTGTGTATATATATGTATATGTGTGTAACATATGCAAGCTTAAGAGTATACAAAGAAAAAATAAAAATATTTAATATTTAACTTTTCAATTTCAGTGGTAATTTTCTGGACAGGATATACACCCCTTACACAGTAGGAGAAATATGTGGCAGTTGTCCTAATCACTGTGACAATGGACTGTGCAGTAAGTGTTATTAACATACAAATATAACAACATAAAATGACAATCTGTTTTAAGATTTCATAACATGTCTTTATGTTCAAGAGGCAAAAATGTACTTAACATCATTTACTGGAATTACAAATTTTCCTTTGTTTAAGGTGTGTGTACTTTTGCCCTTGAAAAACGTGATACTTTATGTAGTCTAAAGAAACATCTAAACCAGTGCATACTTGTATCAATATTGGTATTATTGCTATTGGAGTCTAGAGAAATATTTCTGTGGATGTAATTCAATAAAATTTAAAGTAAATTTTCTTATTTTCTAGGTTAGTAGGATCTTAAGTTTAGCATTTTAAGAAGAGAAAGCAATACAAATCTAAGTAGTTGAGGTAATAGAACACAGGTCAGGCCAGAGAAAGAAGACAGATACTACAATTTTTTGCCTACCAAGAAACTTAATACAAAAACTCTTAAGGTCTTCCAGATCATCCTTTGAATTTTGTGTTACATTTTTATTTATTTGTGAATGTGTACTTATTTCTTTTTGTACATGTATAGGAACATGCATGTATGCCATGGCATCTGTGTGTGATTGTGTCTTGAGTCAAAGGACAGCTTATGTAAATTGCTTCTCTCTTTCAATAACATAGATTCAAAACTAGTCATTTTGTGTTATTAGTGCAAATGTTATGAAAATGGATTACACAGAGAGGAAGTAGGTATAATAATAATACATTTCCGTATTTTCACATAAAGAGGTTACTAAACACAGTGGCTTTAGAACATATTAATTAAACTTGTTTTGCTGAGAATATAGTGTTTAAATATTAGCTGTATTTAAGTTTAAAAATTACTTGCATACTGACTGACATTTTAAATAATGAGTTTCTTTTTAAAATATTTCTCTTTATTTCATGTTTATAAATATTTGTTTGTACATGTGTGAATATATTTATGTATACTACATTTGGGCCCCATGACTATGAAGGACAGAAGAAGACACTTGGTTCCATGGAGCTGAAGTTACAGGTGGCCGTAAGCTACCATGTAGATGCTGAATCAAAACCAGTTTCTCTGCAAAAAGAATGAAGACTCCTAATTGCTGAGCCATCTTTCTCAACTCTCAATAGCTCAGCTGCTCAAAGAATCACTCAAGTTAGTTTCCTTAATCCTTTTTTGAGTGAAGAAATATATCAACTCTACTAAAAGACATCTCACAAAGCCTCAGTTTAATGGAAATTCATCCATTTACTCAATTCCTTTCTCCACATTCATGTTTTATTTTGTCACTGTTGGTAGAGGAAAATAATAACAAAGTAATGAATATCTCTATTCTTTTTTTCAGCAAACAGGTGTGACTATGAAGATAAGTATTCTAACTGTCCATCTTTGAAAGCATCACTAACCTGTTACCACCCACTTACTATTGAAAACTGCCACGCTACATGCAACTGTGAAGACCAAATTCAATAAATTTCTAGTGCACGAGACCAGGGCCATGTGCAGGAAAACCTCCTCCCTAGCTTAGTCTTGTCACAGTCCACCAGGAAATTCTAGGTATAAGTACACTCAAATGATTCCAAACAGTAAAGATTAATTTTTTTCTATATAATCTAATTTAGCATAAATACTTTATAACCAAATATTTTAAAATAACAAAATCAGTAATACCTTTGGGACTTGGCCTCTGAATTCTGTGACGAATTTAAGCAATTCACTCAAATCCAAGATTTTATGTAGTTTGTCTGTATGACTAAGGTCACTAAAACTCTGTCTTGGGAACAATAATCAGGTTCCCAGAGCACAATGAAGTAAAGAAAAGCATATACTTCCACTGTAGCTTTCAGTCACCTTTCCTAGCTCTACCTAGCTAACTATCTCCAAAAACAAATGCGCATTAGCTCTCTTTGATTTCTTCTCAGTATTTACTCCTCTTCACATTCCCCAGAACTAGAGTTTCAAATTCTAAACTGTAATTTGCCTTTTAATTGTTAGGTATTTCATGTACCCTTTTAAAATGTAAATTCATAAACAGAATTTGCTTTTTCAAATGACTGCATTGACCTTGGTTTCTTTTTAAAAATTAAATAAATCTCAAAATTTGCATATTAATACCTCTCAGTTGTTTGTATTGGTGGATTTGGGGTTTATTTATTTCAGTATGGTACTACAATATTCATAATACTGCTTACTTAAATTTATTTACATTAAGGTTTTTAGCCTTCCCAAGAGTTGACTAATGAGTATACACCTCAGTTGATAATCAATAATGGAGCCCACTGAACAAATACTTCTGACCCTACCCTGGCATACCATGTCCAACCTTCAGACTTAGCTCAGATCATACATCCTCTATGCCCACACAGACTGATGAGTCCCATGGACCCTAGATGACCTGCATAATCGCAACCTTAAGACATCCTGTGCACTTGGACAACTCTAAGATATCATAGAATCAACATTAGACATAAATCCAATGAAAAAACCACATTCCCTGGTCTCATTGCAAAATCATAATATATACAGTTCCAATAATATGGGCCTGCCATGCCAAATCCACTAGTTTTGCAGAAATGTTTTGTGATGAGAATGAATGTCAGGACCCCCCAAAATTTTTTAAAATATAAAATTTTATCAAGGAATTTGAGCAGCTTAAAGAAGAGATTAACAAATATCTCAAGTAGTATAAAAATAATAGTGCTTGATTTATGCCTAATATATGTACATATATACACACATATTGAAAATAAATTATGAAGACAATTCAAATTTGAAAACTATGTTCAGGAAGAGAAAGAATCATTAAAAAACTGAAATCATTAAAAGACTGAAAAAAATCTTTTAAAACGTAAAATTTTATCAAGGAATTTGAGGAGGTTAAAGAAGAGATTAACAAATATCTCAAGTAGCATAAAGAAAATAGTGCCTGAGTTATGTCAATATATATATTGACATAATATATTGAAAATAAAATTATGAAGACAATTTAGCATTTGAAAACAATGTTCAGGAAGAAAAAGAAACATTAAAGGGAATTCCAGGGGAAAAATAGAATTGAAAAACTAGCCAAAACTCAGGGGAAGAATAAGCAGAATGTATGGAGAAGATGATAGAATATCAGTACTTAAAGAAAAGACAGACGAATTGGGCTATTCAAGCAAATAATATAAAAAATTAAACAGGTACATACAGGAAAGGAACCTGCAAAACTGTGGTGTACCATCGAGGCACCAAATCTTGGACTTACAGACACAGAAGAAAGAGGATAGTTCTTTTCACTTTCAGTTATCCAGATAGTTTTTCTGGAAAAAATAGTCTAGGTTGGCATTCATTGTCTTTTAGAATATGACATACGTTGCATCAGGCTCTTTTGACTTTTATAGTTTCCATTGAGAAATTACCTATTAATGTTACAGGCTTTCTTTTGTATTTGACCTGTGGTTTTAATTTTGTAGTCATCAGGCTCCTCACTTCGTTCTATATATTTAGTATTTTAAATATAATATTTTGTGATTGTCTCTTTTTTGGTCTTGTCTATTCGGAGTTTTGTGTGCTTCTTCTGTCTGTTTTAATGTGTCTGCTATCAACTTGGGAAAATTTTCCATAACCTTGTTAGAAATATTATCTACACAATTGAACTGGAATTATTCTTCTTTTCCTCACCCAACCCCCTGCCAAGTCCATTACATGTGCTGTCCACCTGCCTTCTCTCAAACAATAAAATAAATCCCTTCAGATCAGGCTCCTTTTAGAATAGATTGCTCTGTACTTAAGATCTAGAAAACTTCACACTCAGTGTATGTTTAGGTCACTCTGATGAATGCTTAAATCCCTCATTTTTTTTTTTGTAATTTGAGTCAGTGTTTTAAAAATGCTTTCAATTTTCAAATGATCAAAGCCCCCATTGTGTCTATATTTTAAATAAGTCTTTTATTAAAGCATAAACAATAACAATTGGTTAATAATAACAGTAATAAAGATATATATATAGTCATTTAAAAATGTACTACTAGTTTTATTCCTAAGATGTTTCTAAGATGTTTGCGGCGCAGCTGCTGGCCTGGCAGAGATGGTTGTCGGTCCCCGGGTGGGCTGGCGGAGCCTGCCATGCGACAAGCGGCTACAGTGCGAGGGCAGCTTCTAGGGCGGTGGTGGAGGGTAACAGACACACAGACACAGAAAATAGCCATAAATATTTATTAAGGGAGAGAAAGAGAGAGAAAGGGAAAGGGAGAGAGAGAAAGAGAGAAGAAGAAGAAGAAGAAGAAGAAGAAGAAGAAGAAGAAGAAGAAGAAGAAGAAGAAGAAGAAGAAGAAGAAGAAGAAGAAGAAGAAGAAGAGAGACAAAGCCCTGTGTGTACACCAGAAGAGAACAGAAGGAGAGAGTGAAAGATGGCGGTGGAGGTCAGAGGTAAAAAAGGAGTGGGCTTGGCTAGGGCAGGGACCAAAAGAATAACATTTCCACATCTTGATTTTAATAAAAAAGCAAATTAGACACCCCAGTTTGAAGGAATTGGGGCGGCAAATTCTCAAGACTGCTTCCGGCTGATTGTGGGCGTTGTCTTTCGTAGAAGGGGAACCCGACAGAAGGCTGGGTGCTAGTCACATCCTGGCATGGCTGGTCTCTTTGCTTTTGACTGGTTTCTATGGCATGGGAATGTCTCGTGTCCCTAAGGTATTGGCAGAACAAACAACAAAGTTAAATTAAGGGGATTTTTTTTTTTTTTTGGACCAGGGAATTGAGGGGGTATCTGACCTCTTTAGATGGATTTCTTAATTTGGCTCCCTGGAACTCGCAAGAACTCCTTGGGTTTGTGAAAACAGAAGTTTCAGACATATAATGACTGTGGCATAAGAGATAAATTTGATTTGAAATTTGTTTGGTGAGGTCACCTGGCAAAACCTCAACCTGGCAAAACCTCTCAGCTGTCAAACTGTCAGAGATCTTTGAGAAGGATAAAATTTTACTTGAGTTACTGATTAAAAAGTGACAGAGAACTTATTTGGTTGGCACCCAGAGCTACTCTTTTTTGGGTCCTCCATGGTCGCTGAAGGTTGCACTTGACCTTTGCTATTTAGCGCAGGGCCTGCAAGGCTGCAGAAGACTCTGTGGCCTAAGAAATCTGTAGGAAGACAGGCCTACCTTGACCTGAGCAGCTAGGCTGTCGATTCCAGCGATTCTGTCCATGTCTAGAAATCTTTACTTTAGATGAAAGGCAGGTTTGCCCAATGGTCAGCACTCTGCAGTCGAAAGCAAAATGCAGGACTGTCTTCTGTCTTCTTTGGAGGGAGCAGAGAGCTGCTGCTAGGAGCCAACCTGTCTCTTTTTTTGTTGTTCTTGTGGTGAAAAGTTTTTTAATAATTAAATACTTAAATATCACATTCCCCAGATCTCTGAGCAGTTCAGGGCTGGATAAAATATAGTTGTAGTATACTGGTTTTTAGCAGGTAAGTTTTACACTCGTAAAAGGGCAGAAAGAAGAAACTGCTGGCAATGGAAGGTTAATGTCAGAACTGACAATGGTAGCGAACAACTTAAGGGACTTAAAAGTACATACCAGTTTAAAATATGAGACTCATGTTTTGTAGTCTGAAATGAGATGTAATAAACAATAATTATACATAGAAAGAGTGAACAAGAATTGGGCACCATTGACGCCTCTGATGGGCCCTATCAAAGGCATACCATTGCTCAAAACACATGTAACAGAGTTAACATGAGGATTTCAGTGAAAACCGGGTGAAGAGGCAGGGTAAAACTGGGATTAAAACCATAAAACTGCATTTCCCTGATTGCTAATGAGGTTGAGCATGAACTTAGGTGTCTTTTGGCCATTTGAACTTCTTCTTTTGAGAATTCTCTGTTCAGTTCAGTGCCCCATTTTTTAATTGGGTTAATTAGCATTTTAAAGTCTAGTTTCTTGAGTTCTCTATATATTTTGGAGATCAGACCTTTGTCTGTTGCGGGGTTGGTGAAGATCTTCTCCCAGTCAGTAGGTTGCCTTTTTGTCTTAGTGACAGTGTCCTTTGCTTTACAGAAGCTTCTCAGC